GCCGTGAGCAGGACTTGGCTCGATGGCAGGGAGTGTTGAGTTTCCTGAGCTATACTTTGACGTGGTGTGGAGCAGTGGGCCCAGGAGCCCTGGTCTGACCTGTGGTGGGGGGTGGCTCCTGCAGTGGCTTCTGGGAGCCAGGCCTCTGTTCTCTTCTCAGCATCCTCAGCGCTGAGTCTGATCAGCTTCTAGCCAGAACAAGGAGCCCCTGGGGAACGGGGGCCTGGCAGTCTGGATGGCTGGCTCCCCAGGGTCTCCTTGGCTAGTCGCCAAGGTCACAGCCTGTCTGTCCGTCCTTTTAGACCCCATAGACACCCTGAAGGGCACCTTTTGTGGCTTCTGCCTTCACCCTGGGCTGAGCAGCACTCTCTTGGGTCCGGGCAGGGTGGGGCCTGGACCTGGCAAGTGGCTCAGGTATGATGGCATGCCTTTCAATGGGCCCACATGCTGGCACCTTCCATGCCAGGCTCCAACCAGGCACCCAGGCCTTCAGTGGGGTCCGAAACTCACACTTGCACCTCCCGTGAGGAGAGCCCCACCCAGATTGACAGCCTTAGGCCCTCACTGTGATGAGCAAGAGGGCCAGGATGCCGTACTTCCTGCTCTGGGGTACCAGGCATTTAGGGGGCTGGTTAGAGACCCAGGAAGGATCAAGAGCTAACATCCCAGTACCGACTCCAGCTCCACTCTGTACTTCCGGGCTCCAGTTCTCTCAGCTCCAACCTGGGACCTGCGTTTACGCTTCATAGAGATGTGATGGGCCAGAGAGCTGTGTGCCCAGCATCTCAGCTCTCCTCACCTCTCACGGGGCTTTGCTTTGTGTGAGTGCCCACGGCAGCTGGTGGACAGAGACTGCTCCCTGGGGTCCTCTGGAGATTGAAGGGGCTCCTTGGGTCCTGAGGGGCAGGGCCCGCCCAGCCACTGCTGAGTGCTGGCAGAGGAGCAGCCTGTATGTAACTAGGGAGTGAGCAGTCTCCGAGCCATGTTTTCTCTAGAACATTTGAAACGAGACATGTTTCCAGTTGAGGGCAGATTCACATGTAGTGAAAGGGGCTGTCTGGCTCACATAACCTGGGGATTTCATTTTCTTTGGCTTTTTTTCCTGTTTCCCTCCCTTGTGATTTATTTATTTTTTTGAGGGTGGGTAGATGTTATTTGCACGCTTTTCATTTATTCCAATTCAGACCCTGCCACCCTGAGAGTTGTTGGTGGTGCTCTGGGTATTCCATACTCTTCCCAGCCCACTTAGAATCAGGACCTTACCAGTTGGGCCGGAGCATAGAGCCTCACCCCCATGGAGGGTCCTTTACCCAGCACCCGTGCTACAGTGTCTCATATGTTACATGTCAGGACTCTGAAGACACCTTCCCATTGTGTTGGCAGTGTTTGCTTGCACTGTCAAACCTTTCAGGACCGCCAAAGGCGATTCCTATTTACCCAGCAAACGATCACTTCTGTTACTTCATCCCTCATGCCTCAAGTTTGCACTTGATGTGCTGCCCCTCTGTCTGGAGGACATCCTGTAGCAGTTTGCTCTGAGCAGGCCGGCTGGCGACAAACTTGCTAACTTTCCTTCACCTGGGAGCGTGGATTCCTCCTGCATTTCTGAAGGGCGTTTTCACTGGCTGTCGAGTCCTGGGTTGGCGGTTCTTTTCCTGTCAGCATCTTAAAAAAGGGTGCCCCTTCTTTTAGTTAGGTCCAGGCCACAAGTCCCAACTCTCCTCCCGTGGCCTCCCAGCATTGGTTCCAGTTTCAGAGCCTGTGCAGTGACGTTTCGGTCTGTCCTGGTGCGGGTGCCAGCCGAGTTAGCTTGGGTTCGTTTGGCCCTCAAAGGCTTTCCTGTGATAGTTAGGGTGGGACCCCTGCCCTTGCAGTTTGGGGGAGTCTTAGTGACCAAGTGCTGCTGAAACAAGTGCCGCAGTGGTGACGTTCACAAACAGAAGGTCCTCTTTGCACTGCTCAGGAGGCTGTAAGGCCACGTTCACTGTGCCAGCGTTGGGGGGCGGCCTCGTCTCCATGAGAGCAGCCAGCCCACTGCTTAGCCCCACGGGGCTGCCCCTCTGTTCTGTCTCCTTCTCTCCGTCTCTGCCACCAGGCAGAGATCTCAAATCCCAGTGACGCTGGGATTTCTCCCTCCTCCCCTGCTTCAAAGATGGCGCTTCCTCGCAGCCAGGGGCGTGGGAACCCTGGCAGGAGTGAAGGGGACCCAGGTAGAGGAGCCGTGTGTAGCTTCACTCCTCCTCCCCTGACGTCTGCTGCCACTGTTGTCACCGGAATGCTGGGGGGGCGGCGCACTCGAGAAAGGAACCAGAGGGAAATGAGTCGAAGTGGGGTGTCTATGTCAGGGGTCCCCTTTCCATGCCTGGAGCCTGGAGCCTGAACCCCCGGCCCTGCACCGACCTCTCTCAGATCTCAGGCTACCCCCCCACGCTGCCTGCTGTCACAGCTTTTCAGAGACACCCCCTTTGCCCTCCCCGAAGGCTGCCTGCCTTCTGGCCAGTTTTCTAGCCACCCCTGGTGGGGGAGGGAGTGTGTCCTGCATTGCCGTACGAAGCCCTTCTCCGTCTTCGGGGATTTGATTACCTCGGGGCCAGGTGTCCAGGTGGGGGTGCACCCTTCCAGAGGCCCCAGGGAGATGAGCAGTGTGGGAGAGGCCAGAGGCCCCCCCACCCCCACCCCACATCAGCTGGGGCTCCAGTCTCAGCCATATCTCTCGCCCTGCCCTGCAGGTGTAAGCCGTGGCTCTTACCCTTAGCCAGGGTGGCCCAGCCTGACCCAGCATGTTGCCCAGGCCTGTGGCTGGGCCCCTGGGCCTGTCTGGGCTGCTGAGGAGGGTGGTCCCAGCACCAGTGCGCTGTGCCCCGGGCTGGAGCTCTGCCAGCGGTGAGGCAGCGGCCACGTGGCGGCATCACGGAAGACGCGCAGTCCTGCACCTGTCCAAGCTCGTGCCTGTGTCCCCTTTACCCGTGTTTGTGCTCCGTGGGGCCGTGGACCAGTAAGGAGCCCAGGTGGCCCTGTGGGTGAGGCCCTGGGCCGCTAACTTCAAGGTGGGCTTAAACCTACCAGCCGCCCCCGGGAGGAAGCTGCAGCTGTCTGCTCCCGTGGGGATTTTCAGTCCTGGAAGCCCTATAGAGGGCTGCAGTGTGTCAGAATCTCGATGGGAGTGGGTTTGGCTGTAGAGTTGATAGAGATGAAAGATCTCCGTGCACACGTTTACATGCACACAAGCTATACAGTGCAGTAAGAGTAAGTCGCCACTTGGGGGCCAGCTTTCAGAGCGGCCTTTCCAGGCTCATTCTAAAAGCTCTCTCCAGAGCCCTGGCCTTGCCGCTGCCCGTCCGGGGCTTGGCGAGACTCGGTCAGCAGTGCTCCCGGCTCAGGCCCTTGGGAGGAGGGAAGAGCTGAAGGCCCAGGACTTGGTCCGGGTGGGAGTGGAGGGCATGTGTTGGAGGGGCTGCCGCTGCTGCTTCTGCGCCCCCCGCGCCCCCACACGCTCATGCTCCCGGCCCGCCCCCAGGAGAAGGAGCGGCAGCGCCTGGAGAACCTGCGGCGGAAGGAGGAGGCTGAGCAGCTCCGCAGGCAGAAGGTGGAGGAGGATAAGCGGAGGCGGCTGGAGGAGGTGAAGCTGTAAGTGACAGGCCCCGCCCCCGGCCCCGCCCCAGTCGGGCACCCTGTGATGCGCTGGCCCGTGCCCGCAGGAAGCGCGAGGAGCGCCTCCGCAAGGTGCTGCAGGCCCGGGAGCGGGTGGAGCAGATGAAGGAGGAGAAGAAGAAGCAGATTGAGCAGAAGTTGGCTCACTTTGGCGAGAAGACCGAGAAGGTTCGCTCCCGGGGGCCCCTGGAGAGTCGGGCTGGAGCCCCTCTGTCTGCCCCGTCCACGGTCTGGGCCCACCTCTCCCTGCAGCCCCAGTGGGAGCTGGTGCTCCGATGTTTCTGGGCAGGACTGGCTTCTGGAACCTTCTCCCCTGGACTCTGGGGAGATAGTGGTCTGCGGGGCGGGAGGCCTGCCAGGCCGGGTTCGGGCCCGCTCAGCCCGCCGGCTCATCGGGTACCTGCACGGGGTTCCGCAGGCCAAGGAGGAGCGGCTGGCCGAGGAGAAGGCCAAGAAAAAGGCGGCGGCCAAGAAGATGGAGGAGGTGGAGGCACGGAGGAAGCAGGAGGAGGAGGCCCGCCGGCTCCGGTGGCTGCAGCAGGTGAGCGCGCACATGCAGAGGGCAGGGAGGCCCGGGGATGACGCCAGGCCCTCCCCTTGGTTGGGCTGACCCTGGTAGATTGTTTCAAACCCCGAAGGAGGTTTGCAAGTGCTATCAGAGTAGGGAGGGCGACAATGCCCCTTGTGCTTTCTGTAGAGATAGCAGTGTGAGGGCCCAGTGCAAGCTCCCTGAAACCCAGTTCTCTGGGTTCCACCCCCAGCTCTGCCCTTCATTGGCTCTGTGGCCTTGGGCAAGTGACTGGCCACCTCTGTTTCTGCAGCCATGAATGTGGAGGCATCTGACCTCTGGCTCCCCGCGACTGCCAGCCCCAGGCCAGTGCCTGGGAGCCGGGGCGCCAGAGGTGCCCCTGCCCTCTCCCCCTTTGCCATTCTGACAGCCCTCCCTCCCTCTCTTCACTGTCTTGACCCCCTTTCTCCGTGGGCTTGACAGCTGACAGTGATCCTGGTTAAGGGGCTTGTTAGGGAAGGAGGCAGATTACAGCTCAGGCTCAGAAAGGACCTGGGATACAGTTTCCTCCCGGCCATGTCCACAGGTAGCCCTCTCTCCGACCCTGGGCCCCTCAGCCCTCTGGCAAGTGTTACACAGCTCCTTCTGCTCACACTCAGTCATGTGGTCATGCAGCTCACAGCGCCCCTACAGGACAGGTTAGAACTGCCCCTGTCCACGAGTGGAAAACCTCCTCTTGCTCCCTCAGAGCAGCTGGTGGTTTCAAACCCTGTATCCCCCTGACGGAGGGCAGCACATGTGGCGTGCATGGACGCAGCACCTCCCCAGGTGGCCGCGGGGCTGTTTGCCCTGTTCTGTCACTGGGGAGAAGGCCACCGAGTTGAGTGCTTGTCCGCTGCTCCCCGACCTGACAAGAGAGGAGGGTCCCAGGATGCCATCCCAGGCC